TAGAAATATTAAAACCGTGCTTTTTACATCAATATAAATAATATACGTTAAATAAAAAAAAATATGTCAAGTTTTATCGTCAGTTATATACATCTTTATCTTTAAATAACTTTGTTATAATAGCTGTTTTTTGACATTTATGATTTAATTTTTGACTTTGTTATTAAATTTTAAACATTGAATCTTATATTGTCTTCGTTCTTTTTGTTTATACGTTAAATAATTTCTATATTTAACATTCTCTCTTTCTTAATTCTATTAAATTTTTTTCAAATAAAATTAAAGTAAGGTTAGGAAATCAGTGACAAAAGTACAAACACTTAACATTTGTAAAATTTATTTAAAAAAGGTGTGTACCAACGATTTACTGTCATATCTTCTATTAATATTAGTATTTTTAAAACTAATCAGATAATAGGGCTACGAGCCATAATTTTCTTTAATTTTTGCTTAATTCTAATATAGTTGCGATTTTAACATTGAAAACATAGATTAATTAAAATTAACATTGAGCAATAGATTCATTAAAATTTTAATTCCATTAATTCTAATATATTGCAAAGAATATCACGTAATTATTAATATTTTTCTTACTTAATGTTCTTAATTTGAATACGACAAACTTTCTAATAATTTTAGGAAACAATTGATAATTTAAAACATGTTTAGCCGTAACCTGACTAAAAACAGATATTAAATAATTTTTCCAGAATTGTGCAGTGCAATCACCCATTTTTATTGTTATTATTTTGTACTGAGCAAAAACCGCGAACACAACCTTGAATCAACTCAGATCAACTTAAATAAACGAACACATACGAACGCACATATTCGTGTGAGTGAAAGAGTGAAATGGTCTATATTTCTCTCTCACTTGTAGGATTTCGCTAGGAAATGGCGGACTCGCCTGATGGCCAATCTCTGTTAGAGGGTCTCTATTACTTATTATGGCTGTCTTCCCATAGTCCCTTTGCCAGTCAGTAAAATAATATTACTAGAGTGACGTCATCTTACTGACTGGAGAAGTGTTCCCATTCTCGCCAGTAAGAAGTGACGTCAGGATTTGTTGCGTTTCTATGCCCTACGCTTTCTACAGTTTTCGTTTCATATTACAGTTTCATTTCATATTTTCGTCATCAGTGATCTTCATTGAATAGGTAAGTAAATAATATATATTCCATGTAGCAATGTTTACTTGCAACTCTGTAATATTTCGGTACCCATGTCTTAAAATAATTGATCCCGGCGACTAAAGAGGTTAGACAACGATTTCGTTCCGGTACCGAAATATTACAGAGTTGCAAGTAAACATTGCTACATGGAATATATATTATTTACTTACCTATTCAATGAAGATCACTGATGACGAAAATATGAAATGAAACTGTAATATGAAACGAAAACTGTAGAAAGCGTAGGGCATAGAAACGCAACAAATCCTGACGTCACTTTTTACTAGCTAGAATCATGGTATAAAGACAAGGGTATGCTCACGCGCATGATAGTTCCAGACAACCAATCAGAAATGTCACTCAGTCTACGTCACATTAAGCGGCAAATTCAAAATGCATTTGAGTAGTACTTCTACATACAGTATTGAATTACGGTATTTTCTAATAAGATTGACTTTAAAAACGTGATTTCTCGCCGCTAAATTCAAATAATTTATTCTAATACGTATCACAAATAATTTCAAAAAATAAAAAAGAAATCATCTTCCATTATATAAATTGTGAAATAATTTATATAAAGGAAGGTGATTTTACACTTTTAGTAACAATTAATACTTTTCTTGAAAAGCAATTCACATTATTTATTGTAGAAATACGCAATTAGCAAAAAACTTTCATTGTGCTCTCTTTACAAAAAAAATATATACATATAATGATCATTTAAGATTCTTTTGTAACTTATTTTTGAGGAATGGACGATGAAATGAATAAAAAAACAATTGCAGGTATATGTGTATATATAATAACTAATATGTAATATAATAAGTATAACGTGTATATATAATATAAGTAATGACTATATTTATTAAGAAATTTTGATAATCATTACATTTGAAGAAGGCTCAATCAAGGAGCCGAAACATGTCATGTATGCATACGAAATTTAATTAAATTCAAAATTTTTATATACAGGAAAATTTAATTTGTAATGTTTCGTTGACTCTCAGAGTTGCCCTTATTATTATCCTCTATTGTTTCAGCATAAATAAATACATAAATAAATAAGGTGGAATTGTACAATAGTATTAATCGATGAAATTGTCAGTGCTCTTGGTGAAAATTTTTCATATAATTTAAAAATATTTTTAATAAAGAATTTAAAATCTAGATTTGTTTATACGAATGTTTATACGAATTCACATATAATAAAAAATTATAAGAAAAAGTGTATTCTTTCTCAATACTTCTGAAAGCGTTTTAATTCATGTAAAAATTCTGACAAATTTTCACCAAGAGTTTCGTGATATTTTTGTTTGATTGTAAAAAGTTAACCTAACCAGATTAGTTATTTACATTTACACTATCAATTTGTTTATGCGTTAATATGCAATATTTCAACCTTACCATGCGTTAAATTTACATTTTCCTCGCACACTTCGGTCCATTCTGCAGCAATTTCAGGGTCTTTAGGAAACCTGAAATATTTTATTTCCTCTCCTTTCATTCTTACCGTTTTTCGATAATAATTATTGCAGACTTTTACTGCACAAACAGCCATTATTTTTAATAAAAACTCTTGCTTACTTTACCGCTTTAACGAATATCATAAATACGGCAGCCCATATTTCATTGGCACTCAGAGTCCGAAAGCTTCCGAAAGCATCCGAAAGTAGCCGAATGTGACGTAAACTGAGTGATGCGCAAAGGCTTTCTAAATTCGTCCACCGGATGAGCATACCCTTGTGTTTATATCATGGCTAGAATCATGGTGTAATAAGTAAGGTGAAGCATTACGCATAATGGCGTCCGCCTCTTGCCAGAACCAATCATGATCTAGCGGAATGGGAAAACGCGAATTTCAAAAGAGGTTAAAGGGAATCGAAATAGAAAAGTCGCATAAGGACAATGTAAATTAATGTAATAAATTATGCGTAAAAGGCAAACAAGCAAATAATATTGTAGATACATATAAACCGAATAAATGTATATGCAGGGTGAATGCGATAGAACAGAACATAGGAAAATCGATTTTCCAGGTGGATCAATTAAAATACAAAACATGTAAATTAAGTTTTCTCAAGAAGTATTGGGAAAATTCGAAATAAAAACGTCGCATATAAATGAGTTTTATAAATTGATTTAATACATTTTTAAATTATGTAGAAAAAAAGAACAAAGAACATAACAGGATCATATGAACAACATAAAGATATAAATGAAATAAAAATTTTATTATAAAATCTATGAAATAAAGATTTTATTATAAAATCTATGTAACAATTATATTTGTCATTCTTCGCAATTTTTTATGAGTCTTTGAAACATTTTTTTGTTTTATTTGCATATTTACATTTCGTAAACGAATATATGTCCTTGTTCGCACTAAGCAGTGTATCACGGTCTTCGGGAATTTGTTCACGTCAACGAAAGAGCATGCTATTTCCGCGACTTTATCGAAGATAAAACTTTCTCTGCTGAGGCCATGACAAAAAATATTTTCCTTTTCCGCTAGCTTGCGATTGGTTGGATATTTCTGATACTACTGCGCAACTTTAGAATGCTTCACCTTACTTATTACACCATGGCTAGAATGGGAACACTTCTCCAGTCAGTAAGATGACGTCACCCTAGTAATATTATTTTACTGACTGGCAAAGGGACTATGGGAAGACAGCTTATACCATATATCGACACAACACTACACACTCAGCCGAGGGCTGTGTAGCCTTGTATTTTCTAGTGACATTTTAGTCAGGAGATTATAAATGAGGTTGGAGAATACATATATGTAATACTACTATATGACTAGTGCCTATAAGAGGGAGTGAGAGGAAGCGGTCCCAGAACCACGGTGCGGGAATATATATTTCCCTCTCTTTCTAAGAGTACTTTGAGTGTTGTGCTCATGCGTTGGATTGATTGCATCCGCCAATAGGAAAATAGAGTGCGATCAGTGAGATGACGCGAACAGGTTATGCTCGTTATGCTTATTAGATGTGTGCTGTTGTACACAGGCAAAAATGATCAAGATATGTTATTTATGTGGCAAAAAGCCTAATGCGCCTAATGCGACTGAAAACATTAGTTTGCATAGGTATGAAATAGGTATTAGTTTGCACTGATTATCATGAAATTTCTGTAAGGGATTGCACTGTATTCTTATATACATAACGGCAATTTTGAAAAAGTTTATTTCATAAAATTAGGATTAATTTATTTATTCCGACTAAACTGACTCTGTTAACTGTAACAAGGTTATACCCTGAAGCGGAATCAATCACTTTTTCCTTCTTCCTTACACATATATGTATATTTATCCTTCTATTTATTATTGATGGAGGGGATGAATCCGACGTATGCGCACAACGTTCAAAGTACGCTGAGAAAGAGAGAGAAGTATATTCCCGCACCGTGGTTCTGGGACATGGACTTCTCTCTCATCTAGCCATATAGTAGTATTACATATATGGGAGAATATGAATTTTCGTTTTTTTTTTAAATGCGGTAAAGGACAGAAGGAAAAAGCAACGAAATGGACAATGAAAATATTATTGAAGTAAATAATTATTTGGTATCAATAAATTTTTGTTATAAGTATATTTAACAAAATATTTTTTTTTTATTTCTTTGTAATATTTTTTTGTTTTATATATTCATAATGTAAGCTGGGCCGAGAAAAAATGTCGGACACTCGACGTGATGTCGGGACTCGAACCGCGGACCTCGTATGTAGTTCGAAACACAAAGCCACCGCCTTGCCGTGGAGCCACACAGCCCGACACGTAGATCTTAACATGGTGAAATAAAGATTTCACTAAAAAATTAACCTTACTCTATTCGAAATCGCTGTTCCAATTGAGTCATGCACAACGCTACACTTTGTACATTCCTGTGTACGTTTGTGTCAAGATGTGTTGAGTAATTGGAAAGCACCCCATGTAATTCTTCCACCATGTCTGCATCCCTATCGCAGTGTACGAAAATCAACCAAAATGCAAGAGTCGCGGTATATCGCGAACGCGTGTCAGGATGAATTTTACACTGCTGCCGCAAAATATTGGGACCGCATCCCGCCCACAGTGGATGGGATGCTAGGAGGCTTCGGGTTTATCTCGCAGACTGATATAAAAGGCTCTACACTCTTCTTAAAATCTCTTTTTGAGGTATGTATTGTTATAGTCTAACCTATCACTATATCTCGTAAACCTATTTTAAGTTTTAACCATTTATATGTTTGATCAAAAAAATTTAATAAAATTATGCTTATTCGATGCGTTTTTACATGAAACAAAAGAATCTGGGAGTAAAATATCGTACTCAGTCCTGCACAAAGCGAAATATTAATTATTAAAGTTAATTATTGTTAAATTAGGAAATTTGTCATATCAATAGCATAGAGGGTTACACAAATTCTCTATTTTACAAACATAAATTCTGTTTTAAAAACAAATTCTTTACTGTAAAAAAATTATATAGAAAATAATTCATGTTTTTAAAGCAAAGAATTGGCCACGTTTATCCGGATAACGCGGAACTTGGGCCAATCAAATCAAGAAGAAGAAGTAAAGCAAAGAATTTGTGTTTGAAATTGTGCGACCCTCAATGTCATCCATGTGACAGATTTCCTAACCTAACCATAGTTAACGATTTTTTTATCTAAAGTAGTCGTGAAAACGAAAAAAAAAACAAAACATAGTATGTTGTGTTAAAGTGCGAGGTAGAAGATATTCTTCCCAAATCTACATCTGGAGGTTAATAACAATAAAAAAATCTTAACGATCTTGCTTTGTAGGACTGAACACAACATTTTACTGCTAAATTCTTTTGTTTCATGCAAAAATACGTCGAATAAGCATAATTTCACTGAAATTGAAGATGAGAGGCATCTTCTACATAATTATTAAAAAATTTATGAATTATAATACATGAATTTTGTAAGATTATATATTTATTTAATTGGAACTTTGTAAAATAATTGATATAAATTTAGAAAAAGATATCTACAGCGTTTCTCTTAATTTTGCATGAAACATTTTATTTTTATCTGTTTTTTATTGAAATAATTCAGATAAAAATGTTGAAAAAATCAATTTTAAGAGTTATAATAAATTGTAAATTTAATCTTTTAGAGCTGACAGTAGATTAATTGGACTCACTTGATTATATTCTTTATGTTATATATAATTTAAATTATTGCTATTAAAATTAACAGTATTTATTTTTTTCAATATCAGTATTACAAATTTTAGTTCTGTTCTTTTAGCTAAACTTCTTGGACATTTCATCTTTTTCCTTTTTTTCTTTAACATAGAAAGAAAAAAAAGGAAAGATAAATTATACAGGAAGTTCAGTTAAAAAGAAAGCCTTTTAGCTACAGCTATGGAAATAAATAAAACATTTAAAAAAATTGGTTTGTTTTAGATAGAAAATCCACCTTCTAAAGCATTTGCCTTAGATTGCGGTGCTGGTATTGGTAGAATTACAAAGAACTTATTACTAAAATTTTTTAAACATATAGATCTTGTTGAACAAAATCCAAAATTTCTAGAGGTAGCAAAGATCTCCTTGGAAAACTGTTCGTCGAGAATCGGCCAATATTATTCTATTGGTAATATATGTATCTATATATTCTATAAAACTTAAATTTGACATAATACACATAAATATACTCATCTTTTTTAAGGATTGCAAAACTTTTGTCCTACGCCAAATAAATATGATCTTATATGGTGTCAGTGGGTATTAGGACACTTAGAAGATAACGATTTAATAGAATTTTTTAGAAAGTGCTCGTGAGTTATATTTTTGCTCTATTAGGCAGTGAATGGAAGTAATTAGTTACTATAACTACTGTTACTTAGTTACTTTATTATAATAACAGTTTAGTAATGACAATTTTTTATGATGGTAATATAAACACCAGAGTTTGGAATAGGTACTTACAGTGGGTTGGAAAAGTCATTCCTTATTGAAAAGATAATAAATCAGAATTTTTAACTCATTATTTTTTAACTTGTAATGGAGTAACTTTATGACATTACTAGTTATTACTTTTTTCAATAAGCAACATGTAGTAATAATTTTTTTTTTAATGACTCTTAACATTAACATAACATCAGCGTTTAGTTAGTCATCATTACAGTCATAAAAAATTGCAACATTGTTATCAAATTGTTATAAAAAGTAACTGTAAAGGTAATGGAAAAGTAACTCTTCCATTTCCTGCTATTAGGTATAAAAAAAAAAACTCGAAGCTTTATTTCTTACCTTGTAATTTGGATTTACAGATTGAGCTTGAAAGACAATGGTGTGCTCGTGGTGAAAGAAAATATCACAACTTCAAATAATATGGAAATTGATAAGGAAGACTCTTCCGTAACAAGACCAATGAAAACCTTGAGGTCTTTATTTGAAAAGGCTGATCTTATTTGTATTAAGGAGCAACAGCAAACTAAATTCCCACGCGGTTTATACCCGGTTCATATGTTTGCCCTTAGACCAAGAAATCAATGAATCAGTCAATAATGCGCAATACAAATCGAATATCTAATTATTGTAGCTTCTTAGATATCTAAATTATTTTATTTAATTATATTTTTAAATTATTTTAGTTTTTTTTTTAACAATGTAATTTTATAAAAACAAAGGCATTTGAAAGAAAAACTCGTATACATTATACATTTTTTATATCTATATATAGAAAAAATAAATATTAACTCTATAAATTCATTTTATACAAATGATGTTGCTCATAATTACAATAAATACACATTTTGCAGTCAATTGCGTTATTGCATCATTCAGCAGGAGCAAAGTCCTATGTAAAAAAGTAGTGTAAGAAACTTAGAGAAAATAGATACAATAGAGAAGCTATCAACGTTATGTTTCTTGTGCTGTCGCTTACAACTTCAGAAGTAGGATTAAGCGACAACATGAAAAAAATATGAAGACGCTCTGAGATTCGAACCGAGGCCTGGTTTTCTCATTACTAGACATCCGTTTGCCACCGAGCCACACAACCCTTGATGCTGATGGTTTCTATGTTGTGCCTATTTCCTCTAAATTTCTTACAGTAGTTTACTTTGGCCGTATTTTTTCATACATGAAACGCTGATTTACATCTTGAGGGGAAGCATTTATGAGTCGTCTTTTCACAGCATGAAAATGTTCCAAAGCGAAATTATAGAATTCATTTTCCATCTTCCATACAACCGATTGCTGAATTATGCCTACTGTTTCAGGTAGTGGATTGAGTTTTTGTGTAGTTTGTCGTAAGTGTGACTTATTATCTAAAAATCAAAGAAAGCATCGATGTTTTTTGATATTATTTCAATTGTGATAATGATAATAATAAACAAAAGATTATATCATCCCTTCGAAAGATGTTATTTATTTATTTTCACAAATACTTACTATGTAAGAAGAAGTTGTATGCACCTCTAAAAAACCGCGGTAATACATTCTCCAATACTTCTACAAACTCGTTTAACTCTTCTGTTACTCCAACCAGGAAGTAATACTTTTGTAGATTCCGCTTGGCTTCCTCTAATGCCCAGCTATTACCAATTTCCCTGTAAAAGAAATAAAGTACACTAACAATGGTTATTACATATCTTATTATTTATTTAAGAAATATAAAATTGAGGTAAAAGATTTGTTCAAAATTATATTTCTAAAACCTTTTTAAAAGAAAACAATTTACCAACAAGCTGGATCATGACCACATAAAAATGGAATCTGCAGCCACATGTTATTAGGATCACAGTCAGATTGACCACTATTTATACACTCGTCAAATGTCTAAATAAAATAATTAGACAAAATTCTATAATTGAATGGTACAATAAGAAGATAATTTTATATGAAAAAATAAACCGATGTAAAATAAATTTATTCATACGATACAATTGGAAAGAAAGTAATACTACATGAAAAAATAATTTATAACAGATTATAAAATACAATTACTTTGGCACAGTAACAACTAGTGACAGAAACTTGATAGGAAAAGTTTGTACACAGGTGAATAAAGCAAATAGGATAGCAGGATGCCTAAGGAATATCATATGGAGGAACCGGAATATGACTATGAAAGGTAAAATGAGAATCTACAAAGCCTGTGTATTAAACCATACATACATGGTAGAAACGAAGGTCAAAACATCCTGAATAAAAAGAATCCGAAGAACAAATGAAGACACTGAGGGCAATTAAAGGAATCAACTGGAGGAATAGAATAAGAAACGAACAAATAAGACAGCACTCCAGACATTAAGGACATAATGAGATGGATCAGAGTAAGACAGCGGTGCTGGAGAGATCATGTGGAAAGAATGAAACCAGAAAGATTATCAAAATGGGTCAGAACACAGAAACTACAGAACTCTTGCCCTCCTCGGAGACCACCTAAAAGGTGACATGAAGATTGAAAGAGTAGATAAAACAGAACTCATCCTACATAAAGAAAAAAAAATATAGAATAATTTTTTCACATAAGATTATTTTCGAAAATTGATTTTAAATATTTGCTTGGGTATGTGTGTCCCTTAACACATCTCTCTGTAGATTACTAACTCTGCTCATGTTCGTTTTATTATATTGGATAATTGAGAATAGACAAAACAAGATATTCGCGTACGATGAATTTTATTTTGACTTCATAAATTACTGAAAATGTTGCCCGAAAACAGCCTCATATGACAAATTTTTATTCTACATTTTTGTGACTTATTTTTTCATGTTGATTCATTATCTTCCAGCTGTATCATTAGTTATGGAACATCCTCTGTGCATATGTGCATGTGCGTGTGTGCATGCCACAATTAATATACAAACCTTTGTATCTCCATGTTTCTTCCTTATAACATGAGGTCTAAAATTATCTCCGTATCTTAAAAAGTAATAATATGATATAAATCTGTCTAAAGGTTTCCTCAATAAATTTATATACAAAGGCATACGTTTAGTACCAAATCTGAAAAATAAAATATTTGGTAAAACAAATATTCATTTTATTTTGTAGAAAAGGCGTAAACCTTGTTGTACCTACTTTCCAAAATTTAAAAACGCCATATGTCCATGGTAAAATGCTGGCTTTATACTATTCCAGTTTGATATGTTGTTTGCAAATTGAACCTGTACACAACATATCTGTGTTAATGATAATTCTATTGAACAAAATATAGCATGTCTGTGCTTTGACAAAAAAAATATATACTTATTTTCTCATACGAGGCATTAAATATCTATAGGCGATTTTTGGCGTGCTTCTGGTATAGCAACCAAAAGTAACCGTGACTAAAGCTATCTTTGTTTCCAGGGATCAGAAGACAAAGATAGCCTCAACCACGGTTGCTTTTGGTAGCTATACCAGAGGCATGCCAAAAATCGCTTTATGGCATTACAGTGAGAACATATGTTAGAAAGTAATTATATTTGTATTTTTTATTATATATTATGTATTTTTTAAATAAGATTCTAATGCAAAAAATTAGAACAAGTTACAACTAAGCAGTGTTGATAAATCTTCCTTAATATATAATGCACCTGGTTAGCAAAAGTAAGGGTGTGCATGTTATTGGTCACATTAATATGGAGCACATGATACTTATTCTGCTTGCATAGGTCATAAACTAATCCCATGAAACTAGTGGATGCTGTCTTTGGTACTCTGTTGTATATCACAACAACGTCCTCTAGATCATCCTCAATACCTCTTCGAGCCTCGGCATGTCCGTTGTCATACCTAGCATCAATTTGTGCAATAGTATCATCTAAAAAGAGAATCTTGTTACTCCTACTCAATTGTGAATGAATTGAAACTAGCTACATTTGAAGTTACATTTGAATACATACGGAGCGATCTGTAGCTCTCCTCCAGGTTGTTTAATCGCTGTCGCAGATAGACTATCACGATGACAAGAATCAGGATTAGAACCCATGGCGTAAATGGCAAGTTTCTCAGTATCATTTTACGTCGTCGCTCAAATCATACCTATCACTCGTGTCGGCCGCCCGTGAGCATGCCGTGCTTGAAGTCGAGCCACAAGAGCTCAAAATGATATATAGGTATGCCAGGTGTTCATGCAAGGTATCCTTCTTCCTTTCTTGTATATAATCGATCCCTTTTTTATAAAACGCACGCTAGTTTTTATACGCCAACATTTGACAATTGTCAAATTGTAAGTGTAATTAGTGTACTGTGCAATAAGTACTTTGTATTTGCCATATGCCGCGACCAGCGGCAAAATCGGACAAAGCGTATAACTTTTTAGGTTAAAAAATCACGCGAAAACATACACTAATACATGATGCGATCGACCCTTTTGGCTTGGCTACAATTGGTATTCCTGCCATTTATTTAGCTTTTCGCATAATTATAAAAGTCGGTAACAATATTATTTTTTTTAAATATAATAAAATAAATATTTTTTTTTAATAAAAATCCTCATATTTTAATTGCACATTCCTGTAGCTTATCTCGAGAGAAAGAAAGAGAGAGAAAGAGAGAGTTTTTCAAAATACTATAACAAAAATTTTTTAATTGAATATATTTTTTGAATTATAAGACATGAAAGTTACAGTACCGCTGTGGCATTAGCATTATTTATACGATGTGTTCCGTTTCGCGCATGATGATTATCCTTGTCGCCCATCAAATATTAAACAAGGACAATTGATGCATTATACACTCATTATCCAACTGATGGTTAAAGCCTTTCAAATGCCGTTCAGACTTGTGATCTTAATAATATTTGTCAAAATCATGACCTTTTGAAGCTGTTATTTTCATATTAAATGTAAAAATAAAAATAAGAGGAACAACCTCTAAACGCCTTGACCACATGATCTTGATATACAATGTCAAGGTCATGATCCTGAATATCATTTGAAACGCATACACGCACGCAATGAGTGCAAGAAGTATTTGTTGAATAAATTATTTTATATTATAAAACCTTTTTTTAAAAAAGTAAACATTATCCAGAAAGACTCATCAAATTGATGTCGAATTGATATTAATACTATAATTTCAACTTCTATTCGATATTTGATCGACGATCATTTGCGAAGTAATTAAAACCTATTAAAATTTAATAAATGTATTCATAAAAAATAAAATAGATTATATGTTTCTCAAATTATATATACTAAAAAGATGTACATCAATTATAGAAAATATATTATTTAAAAATAAGCAAAAGTTAAAAATTGTATTGTTTGAACTACTTAAAAAGTATATCGTACAATCGAAAAATTTGGAATACAGCGAAGCTCAATTGTTTATGTTAGAATGTATTTTTGTTAGAATGTATTTATTGTATAAAATTGCTAATTAATGTTTATTTTCTAGGTTTTTCTTTATAAAAATTTTCCTTGTACTTTTTACACTCACTGTATATGTATATGCATAAGTAATATATAGAGTGTTCTATTTTAATAAAAATAGTGAAATATCTTAAAAACGAAACACTTGATACAAAAGTAGTTCAGATAAAAGTTGTATTAATTTAAAAAAAATATATATATATATTCCCTTTTAGACCATATAACTTTTGTTTGAACCAGATACTTTTATAACAATTTCTTCATTTTCAACATATTATATTATACTATGTATTTCTATCAAAATGAGATACTCTATACATAGTAAATGTAAAAAAATATTTGTGTATAAGAAAAATATCTTTAAAAAATACCTTATTTAAAAAACATTAATTAGCTATTTTTATTAATGAGAGAAGTATAACATAGGCCAGAAGCCTATATAACGTAAAAGAAAAAAGCTATTTTTATTAATACTGAATATAGATACTCATTTGTTAATACAATAAATTGCTAAGTAAGGTTTATTGTCTATAAATAAGGCTTTTATTATAAAGTCCCCGCTCTCCTGCATGAATACTTTTGCATTTACTGTATATGTATACATATGTGTATGTCATAACATATAATTGGTAGTTACTTTATAGGAGACAATGATTTAAGTAATAATATAAGTAGTAAGTAATAACATTAAGAATATTAATGTATACATTTTATAATGAATTTTAGAGTAAAAAAGGTTCGAGTTTAGTACATGATCGTGATTAACAAACAATTCCTATAAATAGACAGTCGCAGGTCTGTTCTTTTTTTAGCACAATATATCACAAATCTCATTATCAATTTATTAAATAGTTCATATGATATCTATATAATAATTAATACGTAGGTATACATTAATTACACATATTAATTGTGATTTATATACATTTTTGTGCACTAAAACGGCGTTACGACATCGTGCATTGCGTACCTCCATGTCCATGCCCTCGCTACCTCCTCGAATTTTTCGCGATTACTCATATACATTTCTCCTAATTCTGGTTCCATACACACCTATTAATAAAAATATCATGTTAATAATAATATATTAATTTAAATATATTATTGCTAATCTTCATAAGTATATAAACACATATTAATACGTAGCATCAATTTTCAGATTAATTTAAATATTAGTTTTGCTATATATAAAAATCGAAATAAATAATTACAATAAAATAATAATTACTAATTAATAATTACCATATTTAAAATATTTTTATTGAACAGATTGATTCTAATTACAAAATAATATACTTACTTGGCAGTACGGATCTGTAAGCAGACTTTGTACACTAATAAGAACTTTAGATATTGTGAGAGCTAGCGACCAATTATGATGTATTGAATCAATGCCAACGTCCCCGTGTCTCGATACATTTGGGTGAAGTATTTTTGTTAGAAATCTTACTATGGGTGGACACATGGGATAACTATAAGAAATATACAATGTTACTACATAGAACATTGATAATATAATACAAAGCGAAAATTGTCGTATTTTCTCGTGTCCCTGAATCTAGAATACCATAAAAATAATTTAAAAATAAAATTATAATTTTTATATTATAATTTATTGAAGTGCTTTTTAATTTTCAAGATATTTTTACAAATAAATTAAAAAAATTTTAACAATTTGTAATAAAAAGAAAAATCCTATATGTATATGATATAACATATAGACATTGCTATATGCCAGATAAGGGTATTGATGGCTGGCGCGTGCGAGAAGGAGGAAACACAATTAGATTTTTTGTTCTCTTTCTAACAGAAGAAAGTGGGGGTACGATGCAGCTCCCACTTTCTTCTGTTAGAGAGAGAACGAAAAATTTACATGTGACTGCCATGTCTCCCGCCTCATGCTCGATCTATCTATACTATGTCTATGGTATATAAAATGTGTAGTAAATTTCCTTTAATATATACCTGAATGGTACTTGTAGATATAGATAAAATAATCCTCCTTCATATGGACTTCCTACCGGTCCTGTGATGGTAGCTTGCCAATGACAACACATATGATCAAGAGGCATCGCCTCAATGCCTTCAGGTGGATCGATCCTTAAGCTTTTGAGTTCACTGCGCAATCTATTCCTACGCCAAGAATTTTCCTCCATCCTGGCAGGTCTCGATCGCAGGGAGGTCTGTGCTAAACACGTCCGACATGGAGCAGAAAAGGCCAGATGGTCATATACCTTGTACCAATTTTTAATGCAACCAATGGGCTTGTACAAAGGCCAGCGTAATTTCACATGCTGCTTCCATTGTAACTGAGTGATGTGCGTTGATAGCAGGCCACACCATCGTCGACAAACATTTGCTGCCGACCATAGGCTAATGTCATCAAGATGTAAGAAAATGGCAAGCAGTACTTCAGGAGGCAATCTTTCCACCAAACCTGGCTCATTGATAGGTTCATGTTCGATGTGTTTGTGATTCGATAGTATCTCCAACCGTTCCGATAAATTATAAGGTCGTGACGATTCACCTGCATCCTCATATACTCTATTGTTCCAATGATACTGCCCAGGCTCATTATTCTGACCATCATGGCTCAGTGCAACCATCTCTGGCATACTCCGTAAATTTTCCTCTACCCTATTGTGTACATGTTGATCGTTTCTGTTGGCACAGTTCTGATGGCAGTCAACTCTGGTTCGGCAGACCATGTTCTGTAGGTCGAGATTCACATTGCACGATGCCAAAGCATTTCGCGTAGATCCTATTATGCATATGTCAACAGAATTGCTATTTGAATTGCTATTTGAATTGCTTTGGAGCATGTGATAATTGCACTGAGGCGTCGCATTTTGATATTGCGGATAACATCTACGTGAAACATTTGCATTATGGAATGGATTCTGTTGTGCGTTTGGGATATTAGGATTGACACTCTGTGGAGAATTCTGCTGTTGTTGACTAGTCCTTCTCTCATGATTATAATATAGATCAGTTGGTTCATCATTTCCTGAATCTTCATCATCTGTTTTCTGTTTTAACAAAATATATACATACATATATAAGATTAACATTAATATTATTAAAGTACATAAATAATTCCTTAAATGATATTCCTAGAAAAGTTTGATAAAATTGTTATGCTAATACATATCCTAGAATAGTTCAGTACTTTGTGCATAATGTATTTTATAACCTAGAAGATCTATATCTATTCCTACCAAGTTATAAGTAATTTATAGATTTGATGGAAAATATTAATGCTGACTTTAGATCAGTATTCATAGTATGGTTCTTATTTTAAGATTGTCTTTCTTAAGATGCAAATATGATTCTGTAATTGAATTATGACATCTTAAGATTACTCAAGACTGTCTTAAATATAAGAACTAATCATAAATAAAGATTTATAATATATGTTTGTTATTTTTACTGCAAAGAAATTAATAAATCATATATTTTAATAAATGATACATTAATTACTGATCTAATTATTTATTAACATTTAATATCATTCATTAACATTAAAAAATTTATTTATATATATATATCATATATACACAATAATCTATTTTGATATATTATTATAAATTTTACTATTTCATACAATGTCAAATTAAATAAGTTATTAATTTCAGATTATAACATATTATACCTCACTAAAAATTGGCATCTGGAGTAGATCAACATCATTAGGAAATAGAAATGCATGACATGTTGCACAGACTGGTTCCTCGAAACATGGTCCATAATATCCATTACAAATATAACATGCAGTTGTCTATAAATTAAAAAATTTATACATAGATGTCTAAATTTTTATTAAAATATAACAAAAGAAAAACTATGAAATATGACAAAAGTTTTAAGTTTATTTAATCCATTATTGACAACTACTAAACATAAATCAAATTACAGGGAATGGAAGTAACTCGTTACTTGTAACGAAGTTACAGTTACAAGTTACTTTTTTGGTAACTTTACTGGTAACTGCGTTACTTTCTTTTTTTGATAACTGTAACGGTAACGAGTTACATTTTTTGGGCAACGGTAGCGAAATTTACAGTTACTTTTGTCGTTACTTTGCACACGATTGAACATGGTTCGATTGGATACATGCCATTTATAGCTCTTATCAGTAAGACTTGAAAGCCCTTAAACATTCGGCCGTCATGATTCAGTAATTATTTTACACTTCTATCTTCTATGTAATACATAGGACATACAAATATTTCAGTTTGCTGCATATTTTACAGGTTTTAGAATTACAAAATTGTGTTTAAAAAAAATTAAAAATAAATTAAATAAAAGTAAAAAATGAGAAAGGCTACAAATCCAAAAGCGAAACAGTTTATTTCCAATAAGACGATGACAATAAGTGTCGTTTGTTTTTATCTTGTTTTATCCATGTATTGTTCTAATATATATTTATACATTTAATTACATTGTCATCGTCGTTCTTATCGGAAATAAACTGTTCATTTTTGGCTTGTAACCCTTCTCATTTTACTTTTATTTAATTTATTATTTGAGCCATTCTACATTGTTTTTTTTTAAATAAAACTATATATATTTGTCAGTGTTACATTTAAAAAAAATGCAAAAAATGCAAAAGTACATTTTTAGATTGATTTCAAAAAAGTAACGAAAAGTTATTTTTCGAGTAACTGTAACTAGTTACTTTTAAAAAGTAACTTTCCATTCCCTGTCAAATTATAACAAAACGATAATCGCTTTAACAGTTAATCAAGTCAATTAATTAAATCAATAAATTTCTTGTATAGGAAAATAATTTGTGACTAAGTAACAGAATCGCGACACTAGATTACCAAAATTATACGCGAAAAAATTGACAAAACACGATGATATGATCGAAAAAAAGGAAGATAGAACGAAAACAGGCTTACCGAGAATTGAAATTCGGGACAGGGGACGTATTCGATCGATTCGACAAAATCATCTTCTAAATTTAAACTAGGACTCAAATCACCATTCTCGCTTATTTTCTCGTTGTTACCGTTCTGCGTACAATCAACAATCTTATCACCTGCCATTTTGTGATATCATTCGCGAATGTTACATACATACCAATACATACATACCATATAGTACACATCCATACGGGCCATGGTGAAGTATACAAGGTGAACTATTGCGCATAATGGCGGAGACCCGAAATCTCAACCAATCAGAGATTGGGCAATTCGTTCGGCGCGAGTACCAAGTTCATAAAGTAAAATAAACATGAAGAAAAAATATCTCTATAAATAACATTATATTCCCTCTGAATTATCTTTCTTTTCTTATGCATTTGAGGAAAAAAGGTTTACATATAAGGAAATTTGTAAAGAACTTGTTCTATTCAATAATACATTTTCCAGGAAAAACAGGGTGGATTTGGACGGAGAAAATTCTTTGACATTCCCTGATTGTAAAAAAGTTCCTTGACTTTTTCGTAGTCCTTTCCTTTCCTATTTCTTCTCATAATTATTAAAGAATCTTTTCCAAGACAAGATGAATACTAAGTGAATATAATATTAATTAAGAACTTATATGTAATACAGTGATCTTCATTAGAATAAAAAATTTAGAAAATATAATGTTTTTTATAGTCGATAATATTCACACTGAACGTGTTTTGAAGTATGTTTACAGACTTCCAGCCACTGCTTCCTCAGTTCCAGCTTTTGGGGGAAAGAAAACATATTTATTTTCTCTTTGCCGCAACCACTCTTATTTTTACAATTGATCACACAGCACGTCGGCATAATGCAATCGAAATTGTCATACAAACACACAAAAAAATATCTTATTGGGTGCATTCAGTACTACAACCGCTCACTGAGCGCTCAGTGAGCACCCCATGCATGGCAAACTCCTATATGCGAATTCAGACCGTGATAATTCATTCTCGTATATTCGCCTAGGTGGCGCATAGTACGGTATAACAATGTTGGCCATTGCCTGCATTCTTGATGTTCTTGATATCCGCCGTTATTTACGCACGAGAAATATTGTGTACATTCGCAAATATCCGTTTATCGAGACAGCAGTGGTCAACTACTTTGTTTTTAGAAATTACGGTCGGCATAAGTGTCGTTCTATCTTTGTTATTTATTGAATATCAAGGATAAAATGTCAAGGATTACAAATGTCGTTTTATCCTTGATATTCAATAAATAACAAAGATAGAACGACACTTATGCCGACCGTAATTTCTAAAAACAAAGTAGTTGACCACTGCTGTCTCGATAAACGGATATTTGCGAATGTA